GTGAGGATTTTGGATCAAATGGAACTCTGCTAGAGTTGTCTTTGTTGCGAGAGCTTGTGGCTCGTTGGTCTAGGGGTATGATTCTCGCTTAGGGTGCGAGAGGTCCCGGGTTCAAATCCCGGACGAGCCCGTCACATGTGGAAGGAGTAGGAGGTCATTGGCACAAACGGTTTCAACAGTCAGATGCACAAGTGCATGTCTCCCAAGCGCCTCTCTGTCAGTCCCACCCAACCATCCAATTGTCTGCAACTTATAACAATGCTGCCTCGCAAACTTTCCAGTGTCAAAATCATCTTCAACTTCATGCCTTTTGTCCAAACGGATATTGGTCCATTTTTTCCCCTGCAAACCAGCCTCTGGTGGCTCGTTGGTCTAGGGGCATGATTCTTGCTTCGGGTGTGAGAGGTCCCGGTTTCAAATCCCGGACGAGCCCCCACCTGTTGAAATGGGACTTAAATCTTTGTCTGTGTACATTTATCATGTGGGGCACAAAAATGAAGGCCTCTACAGGGTCTCCATGAAATATGTTTCTCTGGAAAACACAATCATTTTCTGGCAAATATCTGTCCTGATCAGCATGCTGTGAGCACCTTTTTTGGCAAAAAGCAGAACGAATGCATGATCTTAGACCAGATACGCAAATTACGGACACATTTCATACAGTAGTAGCGTTGGAAGTGCATAATGAGCAGTTGAGCGCGCAAAAGTCTTTTGCGTTGATTTAGAGGACTGAGGAGCTGTTTTCATTCCACCCCAGAGTTGCTCCATCATTTTTCTCAGCCCAGATTGTGACAGTTTCTGGTCTAGGGGTATGATTCTCGCTTTGCGTGCGAGACGTCCCGTGTTCAAATCCCGGACGAGCCCACTCTGTTCACTTAATACCCTGACATCCACCATGTCAAGAGGCTACATACTTTAGACTGAGATTTGAAAATGCACAGTGTCATGACCTGATCCAATGTTACAAGACAACCTTTGTAAAACATCATTCCTTGGTTTGGAAGAAAGGGTCAACCCACCTGGTGCTGAAAGAATTAACTCTCAGAATTAAGGTAGTCAAATGCCTGGACAAGGTACAGTGGCGTCATGTTGCAAAGCAAAGGCACCTGCTTTCAATATGAGTAGATCTGCAACCACTTCTCCCAGACAATCGCTTCACACTTGTCGTAGCATCAGAGTGCTATTGTTTGTCTTGGCATATATCCTAACGATCCAAATGATCCCAGCCAAGGGGTCATTAAAGAACGATCCATTCCAAGAGTGCTGCTGAGAACCGACATCAAAAGCAGGCAAACTCCTCGAAACTGCTGTATCAACTGGGTGATGCTGTCAAGCGTTCAGTAGCTTACTTTTTTCTTATTATAGTTTAGTTTCTTCACATTCCTCTTCAAAATTTATCCTTGTAACACTGTACACGTAGGTTAAATTTTTCCTTATTCCCTCACTATCATTAACCTCAGGTCTTAGGTTCAGTTCAAACCATTCCTTCATTTATTCATTAGATGTTCTTTTATTTTCTCATTATTTGATCGTCATTTATTGAAGTTATGTTATTATATAGCATTTGTTAATAAATTGTCCATTTAATTTTATGTTGTCGTCTCTTAGTGGTCCTTCCAGAAAGTGAAGTCCCTGAACTGAGAATTCCGGCCTCAGATGAGAGATTGATTAAAATCTGTTTAAGACTGATTCAACGTTTGATTACTCAATTGAACTTTGTTTTGTCTTTTTCCCCACCAGAAAGGTGGGTGGTGCCCCTTCAACGAGTGCATAAATGTCATAATTTAATTCTATTTTTTAGGACATTTATTTTAAATTCAAATCACTACATATTATTTGGTGCGGCCGTGCGAGGCTCATTTCAAACGACTTCTGGAAACACTAACAGACAACCTTAAGATTATCTCCCCAAACTAGTGAGAAACCCAGCTTTCCCAACTTAGACTCCTTAAGATCTATGCTATGCTTGCTAAAATTACTGGATTGAATGCTTAATGTATTTCTGATGCATTTTTGAAATTGCTGAACTGGGCGTTTGATGTGTTTCTAATTCATGTTCTAAAGATATGAGCTCTTGTTAAAGCGCTGATTTTGCTGCTACATACGTTTGTGTGTGAGCCTAGACCACGTTGATCATTGTTTTGATTGCAGCGAGGCTGCGCCTTCTGCTGTGCGCGCCGCCGATGCGCATATCCAGACTGTCAACTTTTGAGTGCACGATTTCAACGTTGCCGTATGCTTGTATTAGAAGGCCTTGGGCCAGACCCTGTGTTCGCAAAGCTCCGAGCCGTGGTTCCAAGTCCCCGAACCCTGCATAGTCTGCTACGAAGTTCTAGTGACTGTAAAGGATTCAGTTATTCCTCATTCCCCCGGCAGATTAGCTATCTGTCGCGGGAGATCACTGTTTCCAGTGAGAGGTTTTTGTTAGAGTGATTTCAGACATAACTTTTCTTCACAAATCGCCAACTTTTGTGAATACAAGTCCGCAGTTTTGGGTGTGAGAGGTCCCGGGTTCAAATCCCGGACGAGCCCGCATCTGTTGAAATGGGATTGAAATCTTTGTCAGTGTACATTTATCAAGTTGCGCACAAAAATGAAGGCCTCTACTGGGTCTCCGTGAAATGTGTTTCTCTGGAAAACACAATCATTTTCAAAGTAAAGGTAAAGTAAAAAATATGTCATTGTGTGGGAGAGGCAGCTGTGGAGGTGGAGGACAGTGAGTTCAAGTGAAGATGGAGCGATACTGACAAAGTTCCCCTCAGGTTTATTTAAAGATGAATGTTTCTACAGCCCACTGACTCTGATTCATAAAGGTGTCATCACAACACCTGCTGTAAACAGGCTCTAACATGTTTACAATCAAGTCTTATAGATAATGTGAGTCATCCCACTACACACACACACACACACACACACACACACTCACACACACACACACACACACACACACACACACTCACACACACACACGCACACATCCCTGAGCTGACCGGCTGAATGAACCTCTCTAATCTGCTCATAATTTAAGTCATCCAGGCTGATTTTTTTGCACATCTGTCATGTCTGCACGGTGTCCAATCTGTTTACATGAAGCTGGTTTATTGTCACTACCCCCCCTGTTCTTCAGCACTGATGCTGCTTAATACAGTAAATCCCCCAAGCCTTCATCATAAACATTTCCATCCTTATGTCATCATAAAGATGAGATAAAATACAACAGAAATTCATAGATCCTGAAAGAAACTCTAGTACCAGCTGTAAAAAATGAGAGATACACAAAAACACACTATGAATCATAAAATAAAAGCAAAAGAAAATTGTGCTTCTCCAGAATCAGTTCATGACTGATCTGTTTAGTTACAAAGGGATGAAAGTTATTAACTTTAGTATCAGGCCTAATATTAGACCCTGTCTCTACTGCTGAAATCATCAGTACCTTTTTTTATATTTTGAAAACAAATGTATTTGTCAGTACTACACATGAACGAAGTGTTAGACTGAAACTTTGCTCAAACTAATTCAACACTGACTATGTTGAAGTAATCTCCAGGTGGAACTACAGGGTGCTCTGAACAGCTTCTCCAAATTTGGCAAATTTGTAATTTTAAAAAAGGAATGCAACTTTGTTGCATTGCAACAGTAAATGAGGCTTCCGGAATGCTGGGTTCTGGAATACTGGGATCCCTTAAAGCGACAGTGGTTTAAAAAAGGGTCTCAGACAGAGGCTGATGCAAGTGTTTTCATCATAGACTGTATATAGAATAGACGCTGTCTGCCTCCTCGCTGGGTGAAGCCACCGCAAGAACAGCACCCTCTGGGGATGGGCTACAGTACAGGTCATAAATCCTGCCTCCTCCACCAATTCTTATGGAGCTGTAGACAAACATTAGAAATTAATTACACAGATTATAATTTTTTCTACTCTGTGCTTGCGATGTTGGCACGTAGCTATTTTAAGACTAGTTTGTGGTCAATTCCTCTTTTTTCTGTTCAGCTCCATTTTTTAAAAGTTATTAGGGGGTTCATGTTTCTATGATTGACACTTGATACAGCCTATGGGCGTACAAAGATTGCGTAGCTCACCCAGGGGATATGCTGTTTGAGCCAAGCATCATCACAGCGACTCTCTCGCCGAATGTGTACAATGCTATTGTGCAAGTGGTGGTTTCAGGAAGTGGGAAAAATCCCAGAAATCCTGGGGGCAATTTGGCTTTAAATTCATGTAATGACAGTTGTCTATAGTATATACAGTCTATGGTTTTCAAAGACAGCAGTCTGAAATATGTTCATGTAAACCATGTAAAACTGCTAAGAAGCTCCCACATGGATTACAGTGTTTTTCGCTTTGTCATTATGGGGTATTTTGTGTAGAATTTTTGAGGGGAAAAAAGGAATTAAGGAAATAAGGCTGTAACATAACAAAATGTGAACAAAAAAGTGAAGTGGTATGAATACTTTCCGAATGCACTGTATATAAAGCCAGGAATAAGCATCATACTCTCTCTTTAAGAGTAGAACTTTCGGCCCCTATCCCCGCTCCCCGACCTCCATCCTCCGACTACGACCTCAGATCAGTCGAGACGACCCGCTGAATTTAAGCATATTACTAAGTGGAGGAAAAGAAACTAACCACGATTCCCTCAGTAGCGAAGAGGGAAGAGCCCAGCGCCGAATCCCGTGGACGGTGTGAGGCCAGTAGCGGCCCCTATCGCGCTGGGGTCTAATCTTCTCAGAGTCGGGTTGTTTGGGAATGCAGCCCAAAGCGGGTGGTAAACTCCATCTAAGGCTAAATACCGGCACGCATCTAAACCAGCGCAATTCAACCTTTCCCGCATCTCCTCCTTTGCAGTCGTTCGCTTCCTGCCCTCCATTTGGTTCTCGCACGGAGTCAGGATCACGTGACTGAAAACCTCCAACAGCATATTTTTCCCCCACCTTCTGACTACTTAAAAATCGTAAACGGCTGTCTACAGACCTCTGTGTCTTTGGTTACCTTCTGAATGGATGGACACATCCTGGTGGGAAGGTATGGTGGCTCATCAGGGCAGAGGAACTGCCGCAGCCTTGACAATGGCCATGAAGAGGAACATGCTGCAAACACTCAGGTATACAATCCAAAAACACATGCACAAGCACAAAACAAACACAAGGACAGAAACACAATGCAAATGAAAAAAAGGTGCTGCTGCCGGAAGCAAAAACAACTACATTTACAGCAGGTATACTGTAAATAACCAATGACTGCATGGACAGAAACACATGAAACAAGAACACAACTGCAAATTAATTAAACCTTTAAAAAAAAGTGCAGAATTCTTCAAGCTTGAAGGGCAGTTTTTTTCAACATTTTGCTGTATGCTTTTTCACTTTCAGTTTGTTTCTGCAGTTTTGTTAGTTTTTTTAACTTTTGTATGTGTTTTTGAATTTCATGTTTGAGCTGTTGCAGCATGTATCCCCCACAGTAATGTGTCCTCTGTGCACAGCCTCTATAATAAAACTGTTTTTTAAAAAATAGATTTTTTGCATGTCATAAGATTTTATTTTGTGGTGAAAAATCTTTCTTGTTTCTGATACAGTATGCAAGAATGTTTGAGAAGAAGAAGCAGGTTGTGTTTGACGGGTGTTGAATGTTTCACCAAAGTAGAGACAATGGAGATGTCTAAAAGTGTAATGATTCTGAACCTTCTTGATGAAGATGCCTTGCACCTGGGTGGTTTAGAAAAATAAAAACAAATTAATAACATACTTGTGATGAATTGCTCAAGGTCAGAATTAATCACATGCAGCAGGTCTGAAGACAAAACATCTCCTTCGTAACTTAGACCCAAGGCATGAGTCAAAAGTTTCAAGTGGTTAAGAGCTCAATGGTAACAGTTAGGCCTCTAAAGTTGGTAATCATAAATAATTTAGGTTAAGGCAGTTATTTAAATGTTGGTTCGTTAAAGTAGATTTGTGCCTCAGTGCCTCTGTCACTGTGAAAGCTTGTATTATGCTGCTTTCGCTGTTTAAATAATGAAATAAAAAGCTGCCTGAGGGCAGGGGTCGACAATAAACTGTGTCATGTATCATGTGTCCTGATTGTTCAGTGTTTTTCTGCTGCATTTACTCTTTTCAGGCATCAATGTACAGCCTGCCGGGGTCGTGTGCTGGATTTCTGCATTATGATGATAATATGAGGCTTTGGCTGACTCAACCCCCTCACGCAGGCGGATTGAATCGGATGAGCCAGGCTCCACCTGCCCCCCTCCCCCCCACCCCCAAGTTGCCAAGACTGACTGACTGTCTCTACGCCCTGCACACAGCTGTAACAAATCCCAGCATGCCTGGCATGCATGGTGCACAGCAGCGTGAGGCCAGCACATTGCCCTCTCGGTTGGGTTGGAAGGAGCACGTTCCAGTGGCAGAGCATTCCCCTGGCACCTTGAATGTGGCTGAAGGCCAGAACCAGAACTGGTATGGTCCCTGACTCCTGCTGCTGACCTCCCTCATGAGTCTATGATGTGGCGACATCTGCACAGAGACACGAGTCAGCCTCATGGACAGAGAGAGTTAGGCAGAGATGACTGGCCCTGTGCCGTCCCTCCATATGCTGGGCTCCTCTGCTCCACCTCTGTGTTTCCCCCCTCTGCTTTTCCTGGATGAGGAGAGCTGCTTACTGGGCCAAGGCTAATTGTCACCACCCAGGACCTGATTACATCTGTCTTGTGCTGCAGCTTGTGGCTCTCTTCAGTCCTGCTCACCTTTTCCTTCAAGGTAATCTGATAACACTGAGGTTTTTCCTCATCATTGATTTATCAGAAATGGTAAGCTGATTAAAGAGTCTGTAATGTGATCTGTGAAATACTCTTATATCTGTAACTCTGTGTAGTTGCCTCAGAGATCATGACAGTTTAAAGAGACATTTCAATATTTTTTTTTGTCTCATTTCACTCATTATAGTCTGTTCTGGTTTATAAACTCTATAAAGTTTTCCCTCAGTACGGAAGAATCTCCTTTTTAAAGAAGTATAAACAGACTCCATAATTCCCAATAAGAATGTGAAATTTGGATTCTTTAAACTTCAAGACAGTTTTCCACTTTGGCTCAGTCCATCTTGAATGAACACAGGCTCAGAGAAGGTCTCGATCATGTTTGTGGTTTCCTTTTTGCATGATTCAGTTTTAACCTGCATTCGTGGGTGCAGTGCTTTGATTTTGTGTCAATGCAGTGATTTTCAGTACAGAGCCTGCTTTGATACAATACTGCCTGGGAGCCTGAAGATTATGCTAATGCACACACATTGATAAAAAAAAAAAAAAAAGCCTCTTTTTTTCAACTTTTTTCATTGTAAATGATCCTAATTAGTAATATTCTTGACTTGGAAATTTGGAAATAAAAGGTTCTTGGTCAGACTGATCTACTAACACATGTACAGGACAAATTAAAAAAGAAATAAGAGGTACATTTTTGTCCATGGGTGACACTATATCGAGTTCTACACAGGAACTTTGAACAAAAAATTAAGACAGGAATTATCATCTATGAAAAGTAAAATCATCCCAACTTCAATTTAGGATTGTGTTTTAACTCACTGCAACACTAAATATGCAAATGTGTACATGTCCCTGAGTGGGGGTAAATAAATAAATGAACCAGTTCTAGCAGCAGGAGCAATTAGCAGCCTAATTAAAAGTCACAGGCATGTTTGAAATGCTGGAAGTTGAAATCAGTCTCTGTTCCTGTCTGTGTGCAGTGCACGTGTTCATATTTCATTAACTGCAGACTCTGAGGTGTATGTCCCTCATACAGATGAACACCATCAAAGTCCATATTTAATGAAGTTACAGGATCACAAGGCTCAGCCTGTTCATTAGTATATCACCTTACATACAACATATACACCACAGCTCTTACATTGAGACTGTAAACATTGTGACAGCAGGACCTGAACATGTGAGCTGCTGTTTTCACGTTATTTTCACATCCTGCAGACAGCTGATCTAATGCACCAAGAACATTTTCTTTGATTTACCCTTCAGGACTATTTTCCATATGCTCCTCACACCATCTGTTAGATATCAGTGAAACTGAGCTGTGTCATATGGAACAGACGTGTGAAATGCCAAATTTGCATTGAATAAAATCCTGTTTTTTCCAGAGTAAATAATGCTGATTTGCACATCTTCGCATAACCTATCTCAGACTGACCAAGGATCTTTCCCCCTTTTCCACAATAAATCCTCCAAGTTTCTTAAAGCACCGAAAGGACAGTGCTGAGTTGAGTTGGACATTTTAAGTAAGCTTTTGTTCCTTTTAAATAAATCTAATTTTGTTCTGCATTTTGGGTTCTTCCCTTTTTGTTTCACCCCGAAACTTCACATAATGAACCAACAAAGCAACAGGGTATGACAAGGACTATATATACACACAGGGAAATGAGCAATGAGAGGCAGGTGAGACACAGAGACACAGATGCAGACAATTACAGAGGAGGGAAAACTGAGGAAGTAAAACAAGACCAGAAACTCGGGCTGTGTCTCATTTCAGCGACCACATAAGGCTGAGCGCGCTCAAGAGTGCTTAGCTGAGCGCACTGCCGTTATGTGGACTTGAGTACCCTGTGTGAGATGGTCCGGTTTTTGTGAAATGGGACAGACTACCCTCTAGGAGGACTTCCTGGTTGAGTTGCCAAATGTCCCCGCCCTCAGGCTCGCGTCATGACTGACTTGAAGAAAAGCCGCGGACCGCAGCATTTATTGTTTTAATTGTGCGACCTTGCACAGACACAAAACATAGATACATACAAGCACAGATCATTTCCACAAAATTCATCCAATGATTGCATGTTTTGTATGAAGGACTATGAGATTTTTTTTTAAGACTTTGAGATTTAAGTCGTGAATTTACGAGAATAAAGTCATTAATTTATTAGAATAAGATCATAAGGTTCCCTGTTATTTCAAAGGAGAGTTGTTAAAATTAGGGTCATTGAGCATTTGAAGGAACTGTGCTTCAGTATAGGTTTCACAAACAGGGAGATACTTCATCCTTTGGAACATCAGCATTACATTGTCATAAGTATAAGGACTTTAAGAAAGATACATGAGAAATGCGTCTTTTCCACGGGGAAAAAAAACAGGTGGACTTGGAGGAAATCGCTGCTTTTGTGGAGACAGATACGGATATGCTGAGGATAAATCCATCGATGCAGCCGTAAATAGCCGTGAATGGCATTGAGCTTTAGTTTATGATATGAATCCATATGCCATAATAAGGTGTTGGTGTCTCTGCAGGTGTAGGTTACCGCCGGTGTCAGAGATGTGGTGCTCGTCAGAGCTCGACTCCCTCTGGATCACAAATGTTGATCATCATCAGTTTGATTGTTTCTTCAGAAACCACAAAATCTCTCTGAATGACCCGCTGATACATCCACAGATAACCCTGCTGATGGCCAGCTTCAGTCATTTCCCCCTTCACAAAAGCAGCTTTATGACTTTATTTACTTTATGACTTTATTCTCCAAAGTTCACAACTTTAATCTCTAAATCTTTAAAAGAAAAACTCAATGTTGTCCAGATACTCTGATGTAGTTTTATCAGCTTTCTTATTTCTAATGTGCTTGATTGTTGTAGCAGAGTGGATCAGTACGTCTCTAAAGAGTATAATGTTTGGTTTGCAGATTTTAGTGAGTTCAGAGATCATGCGCTCATGCAGCCTGAGCTGACTGTCTGCTATTTTTGGATTTCTTGTATTTTCTTTGAAGACGCGTTGCGTCTCCAAGCGAGTCCAGCCTCTCACCCGAAATGCACAGCTGTGCAGTGGCACGCAAAGAATTCTGGGATACCAAGGCCACAAAAGCGTGCATAAATGCATGCTTGAAAAACAGGTGGGGGTAGTGTGGTTTTGAGACCGAATTTGAAGCGCGCTTAGCATTTCGAGCCAAATGGGACACCGTTTGCGCAGTGTGATGACATCACGCACACTTCAAATGCGCTGTTTGGCGGTGCGGTCTCTGAAATGAGACACAGCTACAGGGAAACTACTGCAAAATAAAACAGGAAACACTGAAAACTGATAGAGCAATGAAAAACGGAGAACATGAGGGAACCAGGGTCAGACACAAAAGGAAAACTCACAAGACAAGACTGCAGAGGAACAGGAACAAAAACAAAGAAATTACACTCCAGGGAAACACAAAACCAGAGAAAAACTAACTCAAACAGAACATATCATGACATTAATAAGTATCTGTGTCATTTAAAAATTTCACAGGTTTATTCTAAATTTCCATATGGACTTAATTTCAATCCTTGTGTTGATTGTTCTGTAACATGCTTAAGCTAAAATTTTGCTTTTGCAAAAGCTGTCTTTCTGTCTTAATTGTTTACAGGTAAAAGTTGCCTAAAAGTTTTACAAAGGAGGTGTCCTGATCAGTCTGGAGTATCAGTCAGTTCAAATCGAAGCCTATTGAAGCTGCTACCTGGTATCTGTATGTCCTGTTCAAGCTTTTATTTGGTGGTGTGTCTCTATTCTGAGAGCTCCCTGCAATTCTGCGTGGTTATGCCTCATACCAAAGCCTGAGGCAGGGAGAGCACATCTCACCTCCGTCTCATGTGCATACATGAAAAGCCAAGGCAGGGACAGCAGCAGCAAAGACCCCGTGGTACAAAACAGAGACATCAGTGAGGATACATATTGTATAACACTGGTATAACAAAGCAGCTCAAGCAGTTTGAAAAGAGCAGCCATTTTGACTTTTGCCAGTTGGATATGTAGAAGGCAATTTGCTCAGTAGTCAGCTGATATGGGCAGATGTTAAGATCAGCAGATGCACCATGGGATGAGCTTAACTTAAGAGTCCTACATCACTCAATGTTGTGCTCAGTGTGATACAAAATCATTTTTTGTCTAAGCATTTTGATCATTTATATCTTAGTAGTTAGTGAGGCCCTGATTCATTAATTTCATTAACATTTTGTCATTCACAAAGCACAAAGGGTTAAATACTCCACAAGCTGCACTGCTGAAGAAATAGAGGGATACCATCTCTGTGCACCTGTGATGTTTGCATAAATTTACATGATCTGTTAATGTATTCATTCACAACAAACTAATACCTCTCTTCCATGTAAAACAAGTCTTATTGTGAAATACAAAGCCACAAAATGTTGGAGTGACATTTTTACCAACTGTGGCATATAAGAAAAAACATCAACACACTAAACTTTTGGTGATAAGGACAACAGTTTCCAGACATAAGTCTTTCAATATTATGTGTGCACTGCTATATTTATTCTAAATGATGGTAGTTTAATCATTCTGGGTCTGTCTATGTCTCGGTCTCCAACATATGAACCGTGCTTTGCTGAAACAGACTTTCCTGTGTTTGGTAGATCTTCTACATTATTTTCTGTATCATCTTATAAATTAATATTAATCACTGTAGCTGATGAAGCAGCTCTTTTGCAGCCACGAGTCCTGCCTTAC